TTTTTGAATATTTTTTCCCGCCGAACCTTTTTTTTTGGGTTTTTTGGGGGGGGGGGGGGTGGTATTATTTTAAATAGGGCCTTTTTTTTCCCCCCGGGGTTTTCCCCCCCGTTAGGGCCTTGGTTTTTCCCCCTGGGGGGGTGTTTTTTTTGGAGGGGCCTGGGGCTTTCCTTTTTTCCCTTTTTCCCTTTTTCCCCCCCCCTTTTTTTTTCCCTTTCTTCCCCCCCCCCCCCTTTGGGTTCCCCGCCCCCCCCTTCAGCCAGGGCCGTTGTTTATTCCCCCGAAAGGAAAGGCCTTTTGGTTCTCGTTTGGGGGGGCCCCCCCCTTAAACGGCCCCGGTTTTTCCCAGCAGGGAATCGTCCTTGGCTTTCGCGGTCAGGTCCCCAAGCGAAAGTTGGGGGGGGGGGGGGGGGGGGGGGTAATGAACAATCAAACTCGATAATTTGTTTTCCAGAAAAACGGGCGCGATGATATACAGCACCGCGTTCGCTGAAATGCCCGCTAATGCTGTACGCATCTCGTCGTTTGCTTGTACCGGGACTAGTGGGCCCTCGGTAGTGCCGGTATGTGCCCGCCAGATTTACCGGTACGATAACCGGCACCGGAACTTAAAATTTAAGGCCATCATGAACTATGCCAGTACCGGCACTACCGCGGCCCGTCTGTGCGGTGCGATTTGACCGTCCCTATACAATGGACACATACCGGGCATTGGCACTATTCATCCTGCACTAGTGAGCGACCAATACTGCTGTATGCCGAACTCATGGCTAACGCCGAAACCCCCTGCCTCCCCTTCGCAGTCGTGCATAGGTGGGATAGAAACATTAACAAGTTTAGGCCGAAAAACAATCATCCGTTTGGAGGTTGAAGATAACGACACCGCTTGAAAAGGCCGCGGCCGAGATGCGCGGGTCAAACAACGAACGCTCATGACCAAGGAGCGCATCAAATTAATGAGTGCCCTTTGCCCCCCCGTCCCTCGTGACCCCCTCACCTCCATTATTGCCTTGACTCTCGTGCGTTTCGCCCTTCCTCCCGTTCCCGCCGCCAGAGCGGCTGCGCCTGCGTCTCCCACCGCGCCCTCCCCCGCACTGGTAGCGATCATTCCCCAAAGATTGAAAATAAACGAGTTGGTCGGTGAGCGGTCAGTACTCACTCCCAAAACACGCACGCATCTAAAAAGGGGTCAGCACGTGAACGCCCGTTGACCCGCCCCGTCCCAGACTATAGCACACCTTTCGGTAAACATTGGAACTCACCAGCTCGTGATGCACAGGAGAAAGGTGAGCATGTGAATTGTTTTTTATCTCCGCCTTTCCTCCTGCGGTGTTCGCCTTGATTTTTCAATGCGGCGAGGGCTCGGTAGTCCCTTCCGCTCTTTTCGATACTCACGACAATGAGTTTTCCACGTGAAAATTGCGAGTATACGTATAACTTTGGAGATATTCGAACACACAACCTAGCGCCCGAAGGTTTACGAGGTTCTCAACTACACCAACTACACCACCAAGGCGACGGGTTGTGACCATATGCACGGTACCACCATATATACGGCGGAATATGCCGCGCCGTGGGTAGCTGCAGCCAATCAGTCAACAAGTACACATGCAAGACCACGACTACACATAAGAGCATTGTCAGTACAGTCTGCCACCGCAGAGCAGCGCTACTACAATACCGTCTACCTGGCGGGTGCTTCGGGAAGCGTTACCCCTGGAGAGCTGCCCTCGCTCATGGCCATCAACCCCCGCCTCCTGCCGCTTGCCGGGGCCGGATTTGGGAGCCGCCCCCCCCTCCCGTGGTAGCAATTCTTAGTTTGCCCTTTCCTTTTGGTTCTTACCCCTGTGGAAAAAAAGGAGGGGGCTCGCGCTCCCGTTGCCGTGAGGGCATGAGGGAGGAACCCGAACCCGGTTGAAGGTCCCCGGGCGGGGGGGGGGGGGGGGTAATCTTTTGTTTTGCACGCCGTAGCGGTTACAGTAGACCGTTGACCTACACGTCCTCCAGAGGAGGGGGTTTGGGGGGACAAGGAATGAGCATGGCCGCAGAACCGTAGGTTCCTGTGGTGTTTGTCTCTAAACAGAGTAGCGCATTGGCGACATATGTCGTTGCAAGACGTTGACCTCTGTGGGTCCGGTTCTGCATAAGCCCAAACGCCAGGGATGAAGCCCCGGTACAGAGAGAGCGCGCCCTGTTTGGTTGCCATTCGCTTTCTCCAAGAAGGTCGTGCGCATGGGCCTGATAAGTTACACTTGATTTGCAGTGCGCTCTCTTTCTTTGTCTCTCCTTGATAGGCGTAGTTTCTTTGCGTGCGATGTGCTCTACTGCTGCTGCTCAAGAGGTAGTGAATGCAGCATTCCAGTAGATGGATTGCGTGCGGCTAAGCGTGGGTTGCTACAACAGCATCACTGCCTCTTGTCGACCGCACAAGGGCTCTATAGCGTGTGCTATGCATAGAGCGCCTGTTTCCCGCAGCAAGGGGCGGTGCTCGTGATGCTTCTTTCGTGGGTAGTTCGGACGGACAGTCACCATTGTAACCTGTCATGCACAGTACCAACGCCTATTGTGCAAGTGCTTGCTAAGAAACATGCGTACACATGTATATATACTCACTTGCCGTATGCTAACTGCAAACCCAGACATACGCACAGCGCGCAGCATGCGATGGCATGCGATGGCGATACTTCAAAAATCGAAAACTAATTGCTGTTGTTGCTTCCAGGCGGAACTTGCGGCATCTCAACTGGAACCATATCCCACTACACTCACCTGTCGCAAGAAGCATAGCCACAGAGCCTGGACCCATCACGCAAGAGCTGTGTGTGTGTCAGGCGTCGGTGCGGCGGTGGCGGTTCTGCGGACGGAAATCACCCCCCCCAAGACTGACAAAGGGGCTCCGTGGATACTATAACGCTCGCATTGGTTCGAGATGTCGCAAGTTCCTCTTCACTCTTCATTTCACCCTTGACAAATTCACAATCCGCACACTCAACGTGCTGTAAACTCTTTGCTTATTGCGCGACGGCTACTCCCTTCTCGAGTATACACATCACGATCCTTTCACAGCTTTTGCCATGCCTTCGCCCACGCCCCCCTCGACCATCAGCATCAATCCTGGCGCTGCTATCAGTGACACGGCGCCGGGCGCGGCGGAATTCTCCTCGCCGATTGGATCGGCAGGGACAAAGTGAGATACACCGTCTAGATCTGGTACCCGTAAGTTCTCACGTGAGTGCCGCGAATCGATGTCCTGGATGAGCCCACGTCAGATGTGCGGTAGTTAGTTGGGCTTCCCCTACAGTTTTTCTAGACTTCGACTCGTTCGTCGTTATCATCCAAGCGTCCGTGTACGTACGCTGGGCGTTTTCGTCGTTGTTGATGATTGATTGGTAAAATGCTACAGCAGTTGTAAGGGGTAGAGTTTTGCGTCATTCTGTGCCTCCGGCTTTGGGATACAACAAGTTAAACGAATAAAAACAAACACTCTGCTACAGTATGCCTGTGTTGGAATTGATTCCTGTAACATACACCGCCGTTTCGGACCTTTCATACAACAACTACTGTACAAGTAGTGGTGCTCTGTTGTTCAACAAGTTTAGCCGAGAAAAATTCGCGAAGAAGGCTCGATGACCGAGTGCACCAGGGGCAACAGTACGACGTATTTGTGTCAACCAAGAGACGGAACCGGTGGCTGAATGTGAGGCATTCGCACCGTGCTGTTTATCACACTCACCCGGTGACAAAGCGGAGGGAGGTGCTACACCGACTAAGCCTGTACTTCGTCGGCACACATAGCTGTTAAATAGCGCTTTGCCTAGCGCCAACGAATAGTTTTTGTGGAGGACCTTCAACACCTGTCCTTAAGTCCGGTCTCGGTTAAATCATTTCTCTTCCGGTTGCATACGTGTGCAAGTTTATTTGTTCCTGTTCACAACATACGACAGACAGCAGTGACATCCAACCATTCACAGGTAGAACGATGAACGACGAACGAGAGAGAAAATCCTCTTTTCTTGTGTGAGGCTTACTCAGCATTAACCCCGACACAGGGATAACACGCAGCTAAAATTAGCGCTGTGGCGAAGGTCCAACCTTCATCACATGCACCACCGTCTAGACCCCCCAAAACGGGACTTTCCAAGATCACGATCGATGACGTGCTACAGTAGCAGCATTTTCCCTAGGTCTGCCATGTCGACGTTGACATCGTGAAAATAAACGACCCGCTTCTTTCTTGGCCCCCCGCCTTTGCTTTATACTGTTTTGCCTCTGCTTCTACGGGGATCACCATCAGGCTTACTTTTGGAACGGGCGCATACGTGGCGCCGGTCCCTCCCCCTACCGGAAATACCCCCGCAGCTGGGAACAACAAGAAGTGAATGAAGCGAACCACCACCGTACTTTTGCTTCATAGCAGCAATCGACGACGTTGTCAGCCAAAGGATAGTCCACGTGTTATCGAGAGCGTTCCGTTAGTTACCGGGATCCATGGGAGGAGGTACACATACACCACGCCTGGGTGTGGCATTTATGGTAAAATGAGGCATCCTACTGCAGTCTTGTGGTAAATGCGTTCTTCCTTCAAGGGAGTCAGTCCATTGTATGTCGTCGGCTTTGGGCGACAAGCAGTCTAGAGGTAACCAAAATAGGGCGAGATTCCCTCCGTGCTGCTGTCTTATCTGTATTTGAGTGTGCCCTTTTTCGCGATCGCGGGTTTCCCTGCCGTACGTTCAGGTGGCAAGTTTCATGTAAATATTCGTTTTTCGGATGCTCCATCTCCGGTGTGAAGGGTCATCCTGTTGAAATACTTTGCATTAGAGCACGATCCAGCGTGGGAAAAAGAAAAAAAAGGACAAATAGAATTTGTGTATCCGTATACTCCAGCCTCTCGACGTGGATTCACCTCGTGTGTTGCGAAGTTCTTGCGTCATGCGTCCGTGTAGTCGTGTGGGTGTGTCCCTGTACAGTATGGAAACCTTACCAGACTGGGAGCTGTTTAGACGTACGTTCAGTCTTGCCGACTACCTCTGCCTGTACGGTGTATTCCATTGGCGCGGGGGGCATTTTCAGCACGTAGGCGATTCTCGTCTTCAGGTGAACACAAAGACAGCAACTGCTGGTGTCTGTTAAGCTTAGCAGCGAGGAATACGTTTTTTTGAGAACCACGAGCACAACTCACCAAAAAAACTCCAACAGGGCCGGCCGGCACATGGGTTCACAAGAAAGGGCACCCATCCATGCTGCTCGGACTACCACCCAACTGTAGGTCAGCAGGGGCATTTACATCCACGATTCGTCGCATTTCCAAACATCTCGTGTCCTCCGATGGAACGACCACGCTCAAAACTCTGCTCATGCGTGCGGCTAGCGTCGTCAATGCTTGATGGCTCGCATCACATGTTCGGCCCATTGTGTCCTACGGGGGCTCCAGCAAGGGAAACCTTGGATGGGGTATCTACACAAGATGTACCAAAAGGAACGGGTGTACCACGACTTGGGAAATCGGAGTTATGTAGTAGCACCTGTTCCTAATCATTCGACAGGGAGAGAGGGAGGCACATACCGGTAGATGCCATTTTGTCTTTGGTGGCTAAGCAAACGCTTGATATCGTAGGACGCCAGATTTGATTTCACCGCCGAACAGGTGTCAGCAAAAGCTCACCCGACTACAAAACACCCGCCCGCTGCTCATCCGGATCCCAACTGAAAGCCGCCCTGTAGGAACCCTTTCCCCAGGCGTGAAACCCAACGCCAATGCAACCCTATCAGGCGTTTTCCATGACACACACACAAACGGCGGTGACCAATCATTATTCACATCGACAGCCCGCACCGTCCGTATCACTGGTGCGGACGGACGCATGAACGACGGCCCATACACACACATTTTGCCTTCTGGGATTCACAACACACGGGAGCACGCAAGAGCTACCGGGTAAATGACCCCTCCCAATGGGACAAGTTTCGCGCATTCATTTAGTGAGGGCGCCAATCGGAAACGCCTCGAAGACACACGTATCCAAACATGTCAGAGGTGGTCTGCCTGCAAATACCCCCAAGGTTTGCCCGCATCAAGATTCGCGTCTCGTGTGACGACCGCGGTCGACTCTTCCGCAAACCTTCCATCCCCAAGATTTTGTCTGGCCGATTGACCGTGGACAACTCCTACCGCCTCAAGGGCCTTCGGTCATCTCTGAAACAACAAGGTTTGACCAACCAATCAGAAAACTGGGTTCTTCTCCTAGGGAATGCAGATCTACGCCAGCGAACCGAACCGTTTCTTGGTTTCGCTCTTTTTGCGGGCCATTTCTGCCGCCACCTTTGCCTTGGCCATCGCGTCGTGGTCACCGTCTGCATTCGTGTGCACGAGCCCGAAACAGACGAAAGCGTGAGGATCGGGTACGACACTTGGCACTCGAGCGTAGATCCACATTGAAATATGATAACAAAACACTGTTTGTTGTTGTGTGCTGGTAGCGCGGTCAATTCAACGTGAAACAGGACACATACCACCGGCTTGGCAGGCGCACGAAGCGCCGCCGTCCCAGCTCCGGCTGTGGTTTACTTGGCGCCATCGTCTCCATTTTGGTGGCGTATTCCCGTGTGGCGACCGCCCCGGCGTCTTAGCGTTCCGAACCAGCTTAGCTCATTGGGTGTTAATAGCTGGCGTGGGTCGAGACAACACATTCTTGAAACGCTCGTACTCGCTTTGTGTGACAATATCGGCACGGGCTGCGACTAGGGAAGCAGTGTAGATGTGGTTCGGAAAGCGATGCGCTGGTCAAGACGGCAACAATAACGTCACCAAAATATCAACGCGGAGCAACAACCTGCGCCCTCATTCATTCAATGTCTACGTCTCTTCACCAACAAGGAACCAAAATAAAACAACCCCATCCACACCCTTCGTGGTCAACGGTCTAACAGCCAAGCACGAAAAACACGAGTACGCCCCATCCCCTCTCTTTCCGCAGTTCGACATGCTCTCAGCCCTCTTATCTCTCCCACCTTTTCCTGCCCACGCGTACAGCCCTCCCGGCCCTGTGTCCCTGACCTCGTAGTCGCTCACGGTGGGCACGAGCCCCATCTGCCTCGCGGCCTTGACCGTGTGGGCCACCTTCCGCTGGCACTTGGCGCAGAGGCCCGTGCGGTAGCGCCCTAGAATCATCCCGGCATCGTTCACAAACCTGGTGGACCAAGGGAACAAATGCGTACGAGAAAATTACAGTGAGCCATTTGGGGGGCTTCAGACGCTTTTTGTTCGATCGAGTTCCGGGTGTCGCTCTCGCGAAACGGGTAAACGGAGAGATCGCCATCGGGGCTCCGAGGGAAGGGTTGCCGTAAGAAGAGAGCGCGCCCGTCTCGGTGGCGAGCGGCCATCCGGTGCGGAGATGGAGGCGGGAGGAGAGAGGCACCATCGTCCACGGCTGTAAGGGGGGAGGAAAACGCTGACGACACTGCTGCGGTATTGCCTGCTCATGAAGGAATAACTAGTTTACGCTGGCTCACACGAGAGACAATCCCCGTTCTTAGGATATCTCACACTATTACTCCAGCAGACTCCATGAGAAAGCCACTTGGGCTTTTCTCATCCTTAGCACCGCACTCCCGAGGGTCAGTACACTGACGCGTCGTGACACTGCACATATCTCCATAGACAACACCACGCCCCCACCACGTGTGATGCGTCACCCGGGAGCTCAAAATGTGTATCGCCAAGGGTGTGTGGCACCTTGAGCTACCGACGGTACGGGGTGCCGGCCGTTGTCTTGTGGGGAAGGCGTTCGTCTCACCTCTTGAGCAGGGGAGTGTGGTTGACGTGCAGCTCCTTGACGTCGAAGATCTGGCACGTGGACGGCAGGGCGGCCTTACCCTGCTTTTTGCCGGGGCACCTGAGTGTCCAGGAAGAGGTGCGATCGCGTTCGTGCGATTTCCAACAGCAGACAACACATCATTGGCGGCGGCACCAAGGGTAATGAAGCACCACGCCAAGTATTGCACAACAACTTTGGCTCTGGGCAGTATACGACGACGGCAACAAGGTCAAAAGTGGCGTCCCATCCATCAAGTACCTCCCCCCCCCCCCAAGGTGAACGTACGGCATGCACAGCTATGAGAGTACCCGCCCCCCTCCGTTGCAAAATGTGAACATCCATAGGAAAACTCTCAAACGTAGGAGTTACACTATTGGCAATGCACGCTGCCACGTCACCACAGGTTTGTGGTATGGGCTAAGGTACCGATACCAGGCGAGTACTTGTGCGGCCTCTGCCTCCACCGCACCCCTCCGGCCCTTTACCTGTGGAACCTGCCCCTGTGGTCGAAGGGGTCCTGGATGGTCGGCACGTGCTGGGTCTCCACGATGTCGTCGACGAAGTCGTACATCCCTCGGATCGTCTCCCCGGCCTCCAAGTCTCCGCCCTCGTAGACCTCGCTCCCGATGCTGCGGTAGTCGTACTCGCCGTCGTCGTCTTCCGCCTCCTCCTCGATGGCGGCTCCACCGGCTCCCCCGTTCGAGGCAGCGGTCTCACGGCTTTTCGCGGACGAGGTAGCGGCAGCAGTAGCGGTCGCTGCGGCCGCGTCTCTGCTCTCTCTCGCTCCGCCGGCGATACTGCCAACCCGTTCTGCTGCTCCCCGTCGCGCCGCTCTCGGGTCTGTTGTTGCTTGGCGCGGGCTCCTGCTGCTGCTACTGCTTCTCCCCCCCTCCTTCGCCTGCTTCTCCCCACCGCTTTTGGTGTCGTCTCCGGCCGGAGCGTCATCGTCCTGCCCTTCGTTGTCGTCGTCGCTGCTGTCAGAGGAGGAGGAAGAAGAAGAGGAATCCCCCTCATTTCCCGCCGCCGCGGCCGCCTGCCCCCAGTCTAATCCTTCCCCTCCTTCTACACCCCGTGCTCTACCGCTGACGCCGTGAAACGGCCGCGTTCCCCGGGCGACGACCCGATGCGACGCGGCGGTGGCTGAACGCCTCGGCAGGTGACAAACTCCCCTAACGGAGCGGGGGTGAGGAGGGAGCAGGCCGAGGCGCAGAGGCGCCGCGAACATTGATGATGACGCCGCTGGGCGCGAGGGTCGCCCCGCCCGTGAAGTTGAGCATGCCGCTATTCGGGACGGTTTTAAAAGACGGTTTGGGCATCCGGGCGGGCGCGACGGATGCCATGGATAGGAAGCGGGCTTAATCAAGCAAGTCAGACGTACAGCACGCACGGAACACATTGGTCGTATTGACAACATGCCTGGTTTGCCATGGTGTTGGAACCTTGTGGGAGAAAACTGGTGGGAAAACTCGCACCTCATGGTTCGGCAATATTTTTTACATCCATTCCCGGGGTTAACCGGGGAGAACTATCTTTTTTCCAGCAAGCGTAACTACTCTTCGTACCGCCACTACATCAATATTGTTTGAATTGCTGCCTCATCCGGAGCACACCTCCATGTGGTATACTTCAACGCCCGAGGAAGGAAAGGAGAAACAAAAATGCGCTCTTCTCACCCTCCCCACGAGCAAAAAATTACCGTGGGTTGCATAAGATATCACACCCCCTGGACCGATTTTCAAAGCTCGATTACTCCACGACGAAGAGGATGCCGAAGCCGAAGGATATGTTTTGGGAAAGCTCTCGACGAGACGGTTCTAACGTCGCCATTTTCGTCACCGTCACTGCTTTTCCTGCCGAGAAATCGAGCTTCGAAAATCGGTCCAGGGGGTGCGATATCTTGTGCAACCTACGGTACCCGTCCAGGAGCCCGCGCACGCAGCTAGAAAAGGCACGAGAGGCCCCGGCCGAAGGGTCCCATAATCTCGCAACGTCCACTCTCAGCAATACTGCGCCATGTGCGTGCGTATCGGTGCGTACGTATGGACGTACATACCTCAAGAATCAACTTGACGCATCGAAATGGGTATGTACTGCTGCAGCGGCCCAAAGGTGTGTGAGTCACTGCATTTTGCAATTTTCAGTGCTTCTCTTTCTGGACAATCAGGCACTACAGCAGTACCGAATGGCGCATAGCTGGAAATTTCCATCTAACCAACAATGACAATGTTCGGTGACCACTGCCTTGCGCGGTAGCTATCTGATGCTGTAGAGGATATCTGACTGCGGAGACCTACAGGATCGCTCCCATGAACGACCTGCTGACGGATGACGACATTTCGCAACCCTGCCAAACAATGCTATCGTTGTGCAGGCAACGTTGGGGCTCGCCATTTTCTTTATGTGATAGGGACACCTTCGCCAGAGGACAACATGAGAGCGCAGCATCTCAACATCCTTCGGCATAGCTTGGTGTCGCAGAGAGTTACTGCAGGAAGCCTGAGAGCGTACATACATGTACCGCCAACGGTACGAACAACAAGGCGTTCGCTTCCGCGCGCCTGGGCAGCTGTCACAAGTGTTGCACAATATCAGTACAACACAGCAATGTTTCCAGAGGGAAACGCACGCTTTACTGCTGTATGGAAGAACAAGTCATGGGGCAACACGCATGGCGACATTACTGCTGTATTGCAACTTAAAACCTGAGCGTGTGGGAACCAACGACGGCCGCAACTTTCGCCATTCCTGGGCATTTGGGGGATTCAACCGCACATTGTTGCTAGAGTGGGCATGGCTCGGTGTCGACACGAAGCAAGTTGTTCTGACTGCACAAGGGTTCATCGAATACCTGAGCGCGCTCCTGCCCGCACAGTTCCGAACATGGCAAAAGCGTTCCTCAGGCTTGGTCCACTGTGTGGCACCTTGCAATCGTGCGTCGTGCGTGCTGTGCTTGTCCCGCCGCAAGCCGCAAGTCCACAAGCTGAAGCCACAAGTCATCGGATGGGACTCCGCAGATCGGAGAAGTTACTCAGGCCCCTGCTATTTCCAAAATATTGTGGTGTGTTGCCCCCAATGCCTGCAAACTGCTGTGCTGTGTGCCCGCACACTTGACGTGTCCGCGCCCGGCTCTCTCGCTCTTCCGACTCATCCCTCTCTTTGGGTGTGCACGTCAAAAGGGAAGCAACTGGAACATCTGACACTTCATCATCCACTACTGGGTAAATACAGGCTTACATATCAGGAGAAAAACACCATGCCGGGCGGGCTACGAGATGCGTGCGAGGATCATGCAGGATCTCGGAGACACGATATTCAAACTGGTGTGCGATAGGGTCACAGCCGAGCAGTGGTCCGAGTGGCTGAGGGCTCCGCTGGAGCATGCGGCAGCCACGGCAAATTATGAACTCGTGAGTAAGCTGTTGAGAGCCGGGGCCAACGGCGGTGCCAGCTGGCGGGGTTGTCATGATGACAAGACGCTGCTGCATGCGGCTGCTGAGGGCGGCGACGCCCTAGTCGTGTCGCTGTTGCAAAGGGCAGGGGCGGGGGCAGACATAGAGGCGAAAGCCCCCGGCACCGGCCATACACCTCTCCATCTTGCGGTACTCGGTGGGAACGCGACTGCTGCAAAGGCACTAATAATGGCTGTGGAGCGGATGTGAACGTTCTCGACGCCATGAATGATGGCCCGCTGCACCTCGCTATCAAAGGGGCCCGGGTCATGCAGGAATCGCCAAGGACCTCTCTGTTGCTAAGCGGGGCCGATGCCGGCCTGCGTGACTCGACTGGAGTGTCTCCCATTGACCTCGCGGTCGACCACAGCCAAGACAAGATAGTGGTGGCCTTGGCCCAGAAGGGAGTCGACTTGGAAGGGGCCGACGAACCTTCACTGGAAAGCGCGGTGGGTCATAATCACTTTTCCACGGTGAGGGTCCTGTTGGCGGTTGGTGCCAATGCCAACCCTGTTTCAGATCACGTGAGCTACACGACGGTGCTGCAATTCGCTGCTTATACCGACAATGCGGCCGCGATCCCAGTGGTTATCGAGGCCGGGGCCAATGTCGAAAGCGCTGACCTGCACGACGAAACCCCGCTGTTTTCTGCAGCCACGCATGGCTCGTGCGCTGCCATGCGCGCTATCTTGCAGCTGGGAGCCGATATCGACGCCAAAAAATGAGTCAACCCCTTTGCATGCCGCGTGCCGAAATGGCGAGGCTGATGCAGCGGACCTGCTGTGGAGATGGGGTGCGAAAGAAACAGCCGTAAACTTCGCGGGAAACACTCCAAGCTCGCACATACCAGCCATCGCCGAAGGTGCGAACGAAGATCGTCACGGGCGACTCGAACGCTGCTAACACGCGCCCCGCAGGACAGGGCCTGGCGTCGCCGGGGCTTCCTGGTCTTGTGCCGCGCTCACCCAGACAGGGTGAGGCTCGTGGTGAAGATCCCGAAGACGGCAGCTGAGGCTTCGGGGCAGCAGCTGCTGGAGCGCCCTAGTCGCGTGCTAGGAAGGGGCAGCAGTCGAAGGTCGACGTGGAAGTGGGCGACGCACACGGCAGCATGAGAGGAGCGGGCGCGGATACTAGCGCGCGTGCCGGGATAGTGAGGGCTGATGGCACAGGTGACGGCGGCGGGTTTGAGTTTGCGTCGGGTTGGCTGGTGGCGCTGGCGGAGGAGGACGTGTTTCGCAAGATCGTTAGGTTCTTGTAGCTCGAACACGGTCGGTCGTTCTGTGATGCATCTTGGTGGTATGCATACTTTCGTTGTTTAACTGTTAGCACGTGGTAATGTGTTTTTGTGTCACACCAGCAAGATTTTGCTTGCTTGGGTAAAGTTGTTGTGTTCTTGGCCAATGCATGCATTCTCATGAGGCACCTCACTTTTTCGGGTGGCGGAAGTTGACAAAGCAGTCATGCGCGAACACAGTCAGCGGCGGCTACGGCTTCTATGGGATTGAGGAGACAGTACAACATTGATTTCAGAGGAAAGATGGTTTGCTACAGCCAAATTGGATTGAAGAGTACGGACGTACATCTTCTTGCGGAGGAATAGCATTTGTCCAACCCTGAAGAAGAGCCACCCGTGAACAAGAGTTCAGCTGCAGACACCGTGAGCCGTGCACCGGGCAGCCGCTGCCTCGTCATATTGTAGAGGAGAACGTGGCATGTAGTGTCTGCACCACTAGTCGCAGACCTGATGCAAGACTACTGTTTTGCACACGAACGCGTGGATTATAAGGGATACCGTAATGAGCACGACAAGGCTGCAGTAGGCGATGAGGGATCAGCTCTCGGAAGCAGCAGTCCTACGTCCACCACCATCCTCAAGTCGCGGACAATTTGTGCTCCGCTCTATGCACCTGTTGACCAATATGCACGTTGCCTACTTTCGCTGGTTGTGTGACCAGCATATTGTATACAGGTCGTCGCGCGTCTGCCTCTCCTCTCGCCCTTTTCGTTTGTTCTCCTTCAAACAGTTTTCACTCAAGTCCTCAAATAACGAGATTGAAGAAAACGTCATTCTTAGATCCTTCTTCATAGAAACAGAATCTTGCAAATACATGTTGGCGTTTTGACTCAAGAGTTGCTGACAATATATCTCCGCCAAGATTCGCAGTATCGCGATTATGGGGAAAATATGTTGAATGTTGAAAAAGCGGCGTGTTGCTCCTCTCTTCTGCGTGAAGTTGATAAAGGCACAACGGCCACTTGGTCCACAGAAAATGCCAAGGTGTGGCGAAAAGTGACCATGACGCAGTTGTAGAAGGAGCGTCCCTCCCCCAGCTGTATTGTCTCAACACTATGGGTGGATACTAGCGATGGGCGCCTACCTGGGGTGCAAAATAGAAGCCGTTGCCCACGAGCTCATGTCAAGCGGAGAAATTGTTCCATTGCTGTCCAACTCACAAGAAAGTGCATCAACCCGAGGCCGATGACACCCATGCACGTATCTCACTACGTAGCAGGCGTACGGAGGTCAAACCTCCGGCGCTGTCATCTGCACTCACGGATCTGGCTCGGGTGCTAACGGATTGGGTGTGGGGTGATTCGATGAAGAGATAGAAGCGTCGCACACGACAGAGCTGTGTTGGCAAAACGTTCCTCCTCTCTTTTTCTACTTCAACATAAAGTACTCTTTGAACGGTCCCGCGACACTGGTGATAACGCACGTGGAATAGGCCAGGGCAAATACGCATTTTTGTCGCGCGCCTTGGTCGTTTTCGTTCGCTGTCGGCGCCGGTGGCGCCGACACGGTGACGCCAGGGTGCGTTAGAGACCCTTGCGAGTGTGCCACGTGCAGATTTCATGGCGTTATGGACGATTAGGTTGACTGACCTTCGGTGATCGCGCCGCACCCAGGCAAGATTTGTTACGCCGCCTCAAGATTTGTCGGAAGGCTCGTTTCGACAGATCTTGGGGTCAAGATTTGTTCGAAAGGGCAGATTTCGGGCCTCGAGAAATCTTGGCCAAGATATATCGGAAGATTTTGCTCCCATAAATCGTGAAACTGACATTGGCCAAGATCAAGATTTATCGACAAGATTTCGTTCCCATAAATCGGGGTCTTAGGGCTCAGGACATGGTATCCTCGCACCGTTGTAACCCCAGCAGATACGACAAATTATGAACTCTCGCTACAAATGAGAACCTCGCCGTCGCCATGCCTTTAGTCGGTCACACCATGCAGAAGCCTAGACTGCATGTAGCCTTGCCGACCCTGAGGAAATGGAATGGAAACAACCCAAAAATGGGCACATGCCGTGTAGACACCGACACCCTTCAGTATTACAAATCTACAGCACTTCTCCCGATTATCCTGCACCGCAACAATGAACAAACAGCACAGCAGAGGCATCCGAACAGAAAACGGATGCAAGACCTGTGCTCTACCCACAAAGACGTGACACGTGCATGTACCCCGTCACCGAGGACCCTCTGCCGAACCACCCCCAGTACTGCGCGTCCCCCCGACCCCCTCCTTGGTCCCGCCTATGCCTTCTATTCGCGGGAACTCCACCCTCTCCGACAGCGCGTTCTGCGCGCGATATTGCAACACGAGGGGAGGCAAAGCATCGTTAGTGGACGGCTTGATGTACATGAGCACATGTAGAACGTGAGGTGCGCGCGACCTTACATTTTTGTCCGTTCATCGATTCTGGCAGTACACAATACCTGTGTGTAGACGAGCTGTCGGAGCAGATCAGGCAACCACGGCCCCTTCTCTTGCTGCTGACTCTGCAGCACAGCGGCGTTGAGCCGCCCGGCCGCTGCATGCCGCTGCTCCATGTCCAAGAGTCCGGATAGCGGAGACGAAGCCGCATCCTGAGGTGGGCAACACAAAGGACAGCACAGGGAAGCAGAGCCGGGGGAAGGGGGGAGAGTCGTTCACCATGCAACGCAGAGACTTCGCACCGTTTTGGAAGAGTCCTACCCCCTGCAGCATTATAAATAGCAATACAACGTTTGTTTGCGTTCGTTACGTCTGCTGAGCAGGAGTGAAACGTTTTCTTTTTCGAACACTTGCCAGGTCGCAGGCTTTAACACTACTACCACCACCGCCATTACCACCATCTTTCTACACACCTCGAACGCTAGCAGCGTGACCGCCTCCTCAATCTGCCGCAGAATCGCCGGGTCTCGCGCGCCCTCGGGCGCGAGGTGTTGTGCCGCGAAGGTAAGGGCCTCGTTGGCGTCTCCTCGCCGCACCAGCTCGAGAAGACGCTGTTTCAACAGTCCGAACCGAAGCTCTCTGTGAAAGAAATGCGCGCGAGGGTGCACGCGTCATGTACCAAGGCAAAAGATCGAAACGCCCGCGCCCGATAACCCCAGTTGTGTGCGGGCGTCACGCACTACGCAACACATCGATATTCCTGCGCTTCATTTCGCATGTGAATACAGAAAATCTCCCCCAAGACTGGGAAAAGGCATCCACGGACACGCACCTGTCTCTGTCCAGCATGGTAGGGTCCAGGTCGTTCGCTAGCTTCATGGCTTGCACGACGTTCCCCTGCATCATCGCCTTAAGAATTACGGTACGGTACACAAGAGGAAGCGGCCGGCGTCGTGGGCGAGGCTTACAGCCGACATATTGAATACAAGCAACATAGGAGACAGACAGGTATACCTGGAACACACCAAAGACAAAACGACCTGCCGGTCTATCTTGAAAGCTGCTTAACAATTGGAGACTAGCTTTGCCTCGCGCGGGCAAAAGCTTAAGAGCATGGGCAATGCCGTCTTATGACACACCGCTGTGCCGACGAATGCTAGACTTGACTCCACCGTTGCCACCAAAACGTCTTTTTCTCTTGGCGCCCACGCTGTTGACACATCTGCCTGATGTTGTCCAGATCGTCTCATGTTGAAGGACATACTGGTATATCACATCACCTTCCTTATCGCCACCCTTTCCTCAATGGTAGTGAGGTCCACCTTGGCGTCGGTTCCGGACTCTTCCACAAAGTGCTCCGCGGCATCCCGGTAGCCCTCCACGATCAAGTAGTTCATTACCAGCTTCCCGTCCGTTCGTCCGTGAATTAGTTCACGAGGACGCATGTCCCACACGCAATGGTCGATTGAGATGAGAGAGGATGGTGGGGGTGCAGAGAGTGAGAGATGCCGACAGCAAGACAGGTCACGCGATAAAGGGGCAGACGAACGTGAGGGAAAAGGCGAACGCTGCACACACACACAGGAACAAGCCGAATCAATTCTGTCGTCAGCAGCACGACCAATTTTGTCGAGGCCGTCTTCGATGAACACGTAGGAGCCGACGGCACCGATACTTCCGACAGCAGAACCTCCCCTCTCTATGCCCTTCTTCGCAAGAACGGGGACACTGCAAGACCTTTTAAACTACAAGTATGCAAGAACGGGTATGTTATTTTCCAACAATAAAAGAACGTCATCTCTATCCCTAGATAGGAGTACGCGGTTCGTGATGAATTCAAAGCGTTTTATGGCCGTCCGAAGCTTCTGATCCTCGACAACAATACAAGCTAACAAGGACAGGTTGGTTGGCGAATTGATCGGAAAGGATGTGCGTTGTGGAAGGGGCAGGAATATGGTTGGAAGATGGAATGGAATGTTGACGTTCCGTGCTGGGTGGAAACACGTCATCACACGTGCGCCGGCAGTGTTCCCTGTTGGGATTGTGTGGAGACGGATTTCTTGGGACTACCAGCTGATACACGCCGGGGTGTTCGGCATCCTCATGTAGGTAGTGTACATGGATTATGGAAGAGGAAAAAGCATCTGTTCGGGCTATATATGGTGCAAGAGAGGGTGGAGAAAGACGTCGGTATGGGGGATGCCGCGTATCTCGTGTGCGTGTTTTTTGAACGCGGCGAAATAGTTGACTCTTTGGGGACGGCGCGTGGCCGCTGTGATGCTGTTGCAGGCACCACCGGATTACTCTGGCAGGCACCCACTTACAGCTTAAACACTAGTGTGTGCGTGTTGAGGTGAGTCCTCGTCAATGTATATGTTCTGAATCCCACGCATCAAAGGATCAAAGGTAAATGGGTACACACCGGAGATCATCATGCCGACAAGAGAAGTTGTATTAGTTGACCCAACCAACAACTACACGGACCAAATGAGGCTACGCGGATTCGCGCATGCACGTCTCGGGCAGCAACTTGTGGCAGTTCAGCTACGTAGGTGAACACACCACTATGATAAAGAGTACTAGAAGCACCACCATACTGCAGTACACGGCTGTACATCCGCTAGTCCGCCTTGTCTACTGCTGTGCTGTTGTGTCCCGATTAGTCTGCTGCTGCATACTGCTGTACAGGCATCGACTGCTGTTGTAATATCCAGTTGGCGACGCGGCACACATACCTCGTTGAGCTCTCCCTTGGCCACTTCGCAACGCTTCATGCGCACATCCCAAGACGGTGAGTCGATGACCTTTTGCTGTAGCATGCCACCGCGTAGCACTGCGGATGAGCCTCCCCGAGATCCTGCCCCATTCGAGCTCATGAACTCTCCGCCAGAACTGCTGCTGCCGCTGCTGAAAATTATGAGGGATTTTGGGTCGCAAGGTACGGCGACCCGAATCAATAACTAGACGTAGGAGGGATGGTGTGAGTGCGCACGTGGGCCGTCCTCAGAAGTTGGTGAAGCAGAGGAAACAGAGTAAGTGTACTGATCATTAGTTCGGTGTAACCGTGCCTGTGGGGGCGACGCAATATCGAACCCACAGGGCGACAGGGGTTGAGCGTGTCAGCCATGGCCGGGACAGGGACCTGGCTGCGACAGGCTGGCCAACAGAGAGGGAGGACCGCAGACGGTAGTCACCATGTGTGACGTGCTTCCGGAGAAGAAGGTGAGCCTATGGGCCGCTCGGTCGCGGGAACGGTGCGTTGGACAGTTCCAGACTGAGACAGAGGTTGACCAACACTTGGGCCCCGTGACACCGGTTATCCCTGAACGCGCACAAGCCGAGGCGCTGAACGCGGAGAAGCTTGAGAAGTACATCAAGACCAACTCCAGGTATGAGGCTGGTGCGACATTATGTACCAACGGGCTCGGTGATGAAGTGCTACTGCCCACACGCGTTAATGTGCGGAATCTTTTGTGCGTGTGTCGTTTGAATTTTCTTTACGGACCGTTATTTGCATTGTGTGTGGATTGTGGGAGTCGAGAGAACGAGAGTAGCCGTTGTCCGGTCGGAAGTGCAGCGGTAACGCCGTGACGTGTACAGAATGTACTGTTCTACATGTAGGTTCCAAGGCACATCGTACCAGCGTGTTGGGCCTCATCTCGTACAGCAGTTGTTTAGAACGAGGCACCGATTAGCAATTACCTCGTCGAATGCCATGCTATAGCAATTCATCGTACATCCTCGAGCGAGAGAGAGAGCCGTTAGACAAACGCCGGACCCACTGCTGTACCTGTTATACCACCACTTCAGGCAGATCTATCTTTGTGTTGCGTTTTCCTCAGCTTCCAAACAATTCACTTGCAGAGGTTGGTTGTCGAGTGGACGGCAATGGTACGTACCTGTAACGTGCAACCTGCCATAGGTGACGCAAGATACCACACCCTCTTGATCACATTCTCGAAAATCCAAATCATTTAGATACCATGTGCATACCGCTGGGGTATTGAATGTATATGCAGGGCGTGTGGTATCTTATGTTTGTCACTCGTGTCATAGAGTGCGCTCACACGACGCCCGCCTACAGGCAGTGTGTTGGTATCCGGGATATGCCGCTTGATGGCATGCCTTGTTTGCGACATGCACTCTCGCACTGGCTGCTGAGAGGGAGTCTCTCAGCAGGAGGGCACACTATCCTCCGCCGCGCCGCATTGCTCCCCTTTTTGACAGAAAACAGCAGTCTCGTGCAAGTATAAGTATATGTATATATATTTTCGCCACACTGCCGCAACATTTGCAGCCGTGTTCGCCACCCTCGCACACCACAACCACGCAGAGCTCTGGTGGAGCTGGCCAAGCTGGAGGAAGAGAAGGCCAAGCAAGCCAAGGTAGCTGCGGCGGGGGGCGAGCAGGAGGACCCCGCACTCCTGACGCGCATCGGGGTCGTCAAGGACGGGATCTACAAGCGGATGAAGCTGCTCGCCAGCTGGGCTGACCTTGACGACGACCAGGTTAGCTATATACCGTAGGTTGCGTAAGATAGCACACCCCCTGGACCGTTTTTCAAAGCTCGTTTTACTCTGCAGCCAAACCAGCGGGGGTGCCGAAAATTGTGCCTCTTGGATCAATCTCGTGGAGAAATTTCCGAGACCGTATCAATAGTGGGCTCATCACAGCGTGATGCAAGATTGAATGAACTGCCAGCTGCCATCAGTGACGTTTCCCACGCTCGAACAGCTCACACAGCTGACGTATTTTGACCCGAAGAGCCCAGCGAACCTAAACGAACAAAAAACGGCACTCATGTACATACCTGTGAGGACTATTCGAAAGCATGGGTACTCTGTAGTCAAACTTTACAGCTGCAGCTGGCTCGTGTTGCAATGGCAGCTGCTGCTCTCCCCGCACGGCCGGTTTAAGTGCCACCGGCCTCGCTTGCCACGGCGACCTTCTCGGTGCCACTTGTTTCGTGATTGCTATACTATTCTCTATTCCGTTGGAGCGAACATGCCTTCCTCTTTGTAGAGCAGCCGGCGTCGACCGTCTCTCATCGAATTTTTTTCAGTTAGTGGTTATGTAGAGTCTATCATACACGCCGAGTTGTGGCCATTATCGCCCCTGGCGCTTCCCATCCCTCCTGCATCTCAGCACTAGTTGATCCCTGGACCTCTTGCTCCATCGTTTTTTTTATAAGTATACGTACTCTCACAGAAAGACTACCCGTTGGAGATATAACCACAGTCGAAAGGGATGTGCTGTTCAAGGTTCAATAAAAATTCCGTCGCCGGTGTTGCAGGCTGTATGCATACGCCCCCCCCCAAGTCACGGTCCTTTCAAGGTAGAGGAGCAATGCGACCGACAACAAGCATCTAACAGCTCCCGAAAAAGCGCGTGGATTTTTCAACAGCTATTCATTAATTCCAGACATGAGCCGTAAGAGCGAGATAAGGCAAAACAAACGTTACAGAAATTGGACTAGAAATGGAAGGGAGGGGGCGGGGGGGGGGGGGGGACCCACGGTCCATACCCAGTGAGAACGGGTGTTGTGTGTGTGTGTGTGTTTTCTCCGTCGACACGAGACCCCCCACGGATTGGCAATACCCTCCGAAAGCATCACCCTCCGGCACAAGTTCCGGGGAGGTAGGAGTACGTATTATTTGCGTCCGTCCTGATTTTATCCACCTTGAGAGCAAAGACGAAAAAGGGACACTGCTGTCCAAGCAACGCCCCGCGCTCCACACTGTCCATGGGAGGAAGGCCGGTCGCTTGATAGCAAGCTCAGAGCGCTGGTTATAGGGCACAAGGACGGAGAAGTCTCCCCCCCCCCCTCCCACGCACACAAGCACGCGGCGATTTACCCCACAATTCCAAACCCGGCCCCCGTACGTGTGTAGGACAACATATTCAGATGACAAGGGGGGACACGGGGAGGAAGATAGAACTATCAGCAACAGGCGAGGGGGACCCTAACGCGAACACGAACATAACTACTGTAGATGAACACGCGTGTTACTGCTATAGATGGACACGAGTATATCCACCGTAGATTGCTTGGGGCGCCCCAGCTCCTTGTATATCTCGGGGGCGTTCCGCCCGTCCTTCGCACCGTAAAAACACGAATACTCCACTCCGCGAGGCCTCTACCCCCCCCCCCCCC